CTATGATTCTATCTGAGGCACCCAAGAACCACGACGGTCTCCAGTAATGTTTTCTGTGCACCAATAGGGAAACCCTACTCCACTCTTCACTCCTGTCAGCTTCCCACACTGCCCAGCTCTCCCATGTTATGGCAAGGGCATCAGATAACCTTCCCCAGCTGCAAACACTAATCTGTGGACTCCCACATTAAATTTGTGGAGCATAGAAGATGGGGAAGCACCTCAGTGACAGCACCCACATGGCCTGCACCTGCCTTGAAGGGGGAAGGAGAGGGGCGAAGGGTGGGCAGCGCTCCCACCCACCTGCAGGACTGTGTGGGCAGAGGAAGCAGCGAGGCCCCTCTGTCAGACTCCAGAGCCCGAGTTTTTGCTCACCATTTCCTTCGGCGGGAAGTTTCCAGCCCTCTTCAGTTCCTTGGCAAATTCTTAATTTTATTACCGCCGTGTTTCTGGGGAGGGCCCCCCTCACACACCACGTTACGCTGGTAAGGCAAATAAAGGGGCAACCAATTTCACCATTTGCACGTTAATTTTTACGGGTGGCAGTGACAGAGTAATGCAATTTATTTTTTTTTTTACGTCTGCAGCCAGCAGTCCTAAAAGGACACCTCTGTTTCCCCTCCTGACTGCAGTCATTGTACGGCTGGAGGTGGTGGGAGTGCACTGTGGGCTGGATGCCTATGGCGAGCAGCTGGTTACGCAAACAGGTTTATAACCAGTTGAGGAGAGGGAGACTGGGGGGGAATATGAACATCCACTCTGCCTCAGACACCGGCTTCATTTTTTTTCTTGCTCTGTACATGCTGTAATATAGCTACTCTGGAATTCAGCACCTGGCCTCCTGCCTCATCTTCATGCAGTTAACTTTGTATACAAGATGTAGAAGTGAAATAAATTGATTCTCAGTAGGTCTGAGATGACGAGCCCATGAGATAACACCAATGTCTTGTCAGCGTACTGATTGCATCTCTTCCGCTTTGTTTTCTTATTCCTGTTTTTGTATACGTATCACATACTTTTTGTCATCGTAAAATGACCTGTGAAGTCTGATGCGAGCAATTCTCTTGTTTGTAAGGGGAAAAGCAGAGAGAGCCAAAAGAAATCTCCTGTGCTGCATCTGACTTCTCTTCACAGACAAAAGCAGAGATGGGGAAAAGTCACAGCAAGAGAGACAGAAAAAAGAAATCGACAACCATAAAGCTCCTAAAGAAGCAGGAATGGCAACAGGCAACTTGGGAAATTTTAGTTTTTCCTTTGTCTTCTTATTTTTAGGGAAGATCCCTGTCCCTAAACCCCATGCCATATCAGCTATGACACCTATTGAAGAAGTTGAAGAAGCAAGAATGTAAACTGTAAGACTGCAAACCATGCCAGAATGACCAGACAACACACCTAAACTATTCTCTCAGAAAACACCAGAGCGCACTACTGCACAGTTGAGATGATTTCCAAACAGACTAAGCACCATTATTATTGAGGCGTGGATTTGTTCTACTTTAACACAAATAACCTACACGCTGCAAATGGCAATTTTTTTTTCATTTTGGCTACTTGATTTTAAGGTAAATAGACCTGATGTTCAGTGCTCCTTAACATCTGAATTTCTTGTTGATTTTCTCTGCAGTCAAAATCAGGCTAAATAAAAATATGTGCCGTAAGACAGAGGCCCTGAACATGAAGTTATCCAAGACAATGCATTTGACTTAATGATGGGATCTGCCATCAGAACATATTTAATAAAATCGACTCTCTTGTTTGGTTTGATATAGTTAGAATGATGAATCCAAGAGCATTTTTTACACTTTGAGGAGACATGGATGCTAAGAGGTGTTTATTATTAATTAACAAGAACCTTTAAGCTTTCTTCTGTGTTTCCATTGTAAAGCATAGAATCATTCAGGCCAGAAGGCACCTTGGGAAGTTCGCAGTCCAACCACCTGCTCAAAGCAGGGCCACAGTGAATTCAGACTACGCTGCTTAAACTTTGTCCAGTTGGTCTTGAGAAGCTCCACAGATGGAGATCCGAGAGCCGCTCTGGGGAACCCACTCCTGTGTGGGTTCTTACAGTGAATGTTCTTCCTTACACCAAGTCAGAACCTCACCTATATCAATTTGTGACCATGATCTCTTTTTCTCCTGTCACACAAGTCAGTGAAGAGCCTAGCTCCATACTCTCTACAGCCTCCTCACATGTATTGAGGGCCAACTATCAGGTCACTCCTAAAGCCTTCTCCAGGCTGAACAAGACCCATTCCCTTGGTCTTTCCTCACAGGAGTGTGCTCCAGTCCCAACCATCTTGGTGGCTCTCCATTAGACTCGCTCCTGTCTTTCTTGAATCTTAACTATGTGTGTTAAATGCACATCCTTTTATACACAGGTTCTCCAAACGCATCATTTTGCTTTTCTTGGAGGCTTACCTTGTCAAAGTAGCAAATACTCACAATGCTTCTGTGAGGACCTAAACATGAGAATCTTGAGGCAGGTGGACTACCTCACATTGCACCGAACTAGCATCAGAAGCAGTGGGCCTGGATGTCAGGGGTCTCCCTGGCTGCAGGAATCCAGACAAACATTTTTGCCTGCTATTCCTCTGTCAAGAAAATAAAGACTAATTCCATCTCCACTTGAGCGGATTTCCTGAGCTACTTACGTATATGGGGACTAACAGGTTAACCTCAAATGAATGAAACAGCAGGTTTCATTCATTCACAGGTACTTGAGGACTGCATTAAACTCACCACAAACACTTCTGAATTCATCCTTTCATTAATGAATAGCACTTTCATACCAAGAAGGTAACTGAAATGTCACAACTGTACATGTCTAGAGCTCAACGCAATTAAAGGGTAATGCAGCTGATACAATCATGGCGCTGTTACACTAAAGTGGAGTATCCAAACCATGCATCACCTTGGTACCAAAATTTTCACCTTTTTGTAAAATTTAGTGCTTACCTATGTATTTTGGATCCTGGATAATTTACAAAAAGCATTTCATGAAAGAGGGGCATTTGGCGCAAGAATGTGATTTCTAGTTTCCACTTGAACAGTGAAGCTTCAGGTGGTCGTTCCAGACAATGCAGTGCCAAGCCCAGAGCCCTCTGCCCAGAGAAGTTGTGGAGTCTCCCACACTGGAGACATTCAAAACCCGCCTGGACACTGTCCTGTGCAACCTGCTGTAGGTGACCCTGCTCTGGCGGGGGGGGTTGGACTAGATGATCTCCAGAGGTCCCTTCCAGCCCTGACCATTCTGTGATTCTGCAGCAGAGCTCTGCTCTACTTAAATGAGATATGAACTTCCCAGGAACTAGTCCACTAGCATGTATTTGTGATATTTGTCTCCTAATAAGCAGGATCAGAGATGGCCACGTATTTCAGACTGTATCATCAGGACTTCTACAAAGCGTCACGCAACTTTACTGCCTTCTATGCTCAGTGTGTATACATAGAAGTGGGCACAAAGGTGAAAATTCTCTTTTGGTGAGCTGATGAAACCTTCTCTTTTCTCCTGCTATCAGTATGGTGGGTGACTGATTCCCCCAGACTTGTCTCAATGCAAGACATTGTCTCATTTTTGCGGTCATTACGGTTGTAGTGGATACTACTGCAAAATATTCACTCTGCAGTGTGGATTTTGCATCACACAAAAGAGGAGTTTTAAAACATTTAAAAAAAAAAAAAAAACACACGTCAAGAAAACCCTCAGCCTCCCTTTAACATTTCCAAATAGTTCCCAAATATCACTTTGATGCCTTTTATATGTTTGCAAATCAAACAATTATATTCATTTCTATGACAGAAATAAGTGAATACGTGTACTACTACATTTTTTACTCACAGCACAAGAGCCTGGCAAAGGTAATTGAAGTTACAAATGAAGATTAACCACATTAGATTTATGGCTGACAAAACTACAGACTTGCTTGAGCTTGCATTTTATCAGCATTCAAGCTATACTTCTGCCTTGTACATACAACCTTCTGCACGGATCCCATGTTCATTACTTGCTGTTCTTTCCCATGTATTCCAAGCAATTTGGGGACAGAAAACTATTCCAAGTTTTTTTTTTGGTACAAGGCACAAAATTTAGTGACTGGACAGTCACGATCCAGAATTATGAAGTGAGAATTACAAATCCATGAGTAAAGCTGGAGAAGCACTTAAGCATAACAACGCCTTGCAGAAACTGGTTAACAGCAAATATAGAGCACTACTCATTTCTGCAGTACAAAGTTTTTGGAAGTATATCCCTGCTGCAAAGCTCACTTGGGAACAAAAGGGATTATTGTTATAAAATAATCTGAATATAAATGTGTTGTGATCTCTGACAACAGACTACCATGTCTTGCTTTGTGTTTTGATGAGATTTATGCAAGTGCCCAAGTGCATGGATATGAGTTACCTTTCAGAATATTTACTGAACCCAAACATTAATATTACCACTAACAGCTCCTAATAACACTGAACTCCCCAGACGCATCACAGATGAACACTTCTAATCTGCTACGTTTAGAAATGTATTCTTATATTACTTTCTTATTTCTCCAATCTGTTTTCCCCTGCTGGCTGAAACTTCTCATTATAATATAAATGTAATAACACTGAAAATATTAATATTAATGAAAACATGTTCATAGGGGGAAAGTAATGACTCAGACCTGTAACTGCTATTACACATTCTACCAACAATCTCTTAAGAAACAAGTATCAAATACCATGACTTTATATAAGTACCACCATTTAAAATTTTAAGAAAGCACACCAAATATATTTTCTAAATTTTTTTTATTTTTATTGTTTGCACTAACTGTAGCATCATTTACAGCTTTCATCTCTAACAAATCGAAGCGAACCAGCACGCACAAAAACCTATTCAAGGGCAGCACTCTTAAAGTGGAACCTTGGTTACATAAATGCAGTGCACCATGGTGTGTAACAGACCTACACACAGTGAGTTCATCCTAACTCTTTAAGTACAGTCTGGTTTCATGCGTTTTTCAGGGCTTTTAAAAAGTTTCACTTTAGGGGAGCAAAGAGAAAACAGCTACAAGGTTTATAGAGATGACTCATTTTTAAGCCAAAATTCTTACGTCTAAATTATTAAACTACAGCAAGGACCCTTCTTCAGCTGTAAAAATTTTGCTCTGCAAAACAAAAAAGAAAAAAAATTAGTCACTTTGCTGTCTGAAGCACAAGTAAGATCATTAGCAGCCTAAACACTTGTGGCTTATGCTGTATATATTCCCGTTTCTACCAAAAGTTTGCCAGGTTTAGTCACCAGCTCCTGGCTTTCTCTCTGAGCCAAAATGGAAGCGGGTATAAAACCGATCGCTTCTGTGAGGGCTTCGCCTTTTTAAATCCTGGCCGAAAAGCTCCTGCAAGCGATCCCCTATCACCTCTACAGAAACAGACCTGCAAACCAAGACAGTCCATTTGGTTTTACTCATTTCTGCGAGTTGTTTATGAACTAATTTTTAAAACAGTTAATTATTAACTAGCAGTTCTGATCAACAAGATTTATCCTCTCAATTTCTGAATGTAGTTTAAAGTTGTTCCAGCTGATGCATTTGTTATTGATCTTACTTCACTGGCTTAAATCCAAGTCAGCACAAGAGGGAAGGAATGACAGAAGGCAGAAAACAAGCCCAATTCATACAGTTAGAACTGAAATACCATAGGATTGATAACGGATAGGACAAACATCTCAGTACATGCTAAAGACCTCACAGGGGGTCCTGAACTAGTAGTCGTCACTGGGAATTTAAGCTGTCCAGCCCCTCAGATGACACAGTACAGGCTTTGCCACGTTAGATTTTAGTAAGCGAGCTGAAAACCTGCCTGTCCACACCCCTGAGAGACCCCCCAAGATCAAACTAAAACAAAACTACAACAGGATTACTCTTAGGTGTATTCTGCTGTGCTTCAAGATGGGCATTTTACCTTAAGCAAATCCTTAACCTCTAAAGATGCCAATAATGTAGGAGCAGAAACCATGCAGGGATTCCCAGCAATGTTCCCGTGCCAGTTTCATTGCTTCCGTTTCATTTTCAGACCCTTGACCATGTTGGGTTGGTTTTATAAGAGGTAGTATTGGAAGTTTCCCTATTTTCTCAACAGAGCTTTTCCCTGCTCCCCTCATAGAAGTGGAAGTTTTCTGGACTGATTTGTCCTCGTTTGCTAGATCTTCTGGCTCCATACCAGCAGCTATTTGCTTCATGAGAGCCTCTGTGGGAGCCTTTTGGCACATGGTGATCTTCAACACTTCCGTGGATTCGCAAGCATGCGGGAGCTTTCTAAGTCCAGCGGCGATCTGATTCCAGTAAATCTTTGGATTGTTTCTGAAAGCACGACAGACTGATGGCTTGCCAGTGAATTCACACCAGTAGGACATGCCTTGGCTTTTGCATTCAATTCTAAGTTTCATCTCCTCATCCCCACTCATGCTCATTGTGCAAACATCTTTGGTTTTAGTCCGAAAATTGATTTCTTCACCATTGCTTCTTTTCTTTGGCTTCAGCTTCTGTCCCAATCCTCCCACGCCACAGATCACTACTAGGAAAAGAAGAGCAAAACTCTTCATGGTGAGAGGAGTAGACTGAGGTCCTTAAGCAACACGATCCGAAAAAGTGAAAGCAGTAAGTGGCTGCTCACAATTTAAAGGCTTGATGCACAAAGAAGCCTCTTTCAAGCGAAATGTGGGGCGTAAGTTGTGGGTTGGGTGTTTTTTTTTTTTTTTTACAAATAAAAATAATAAATCAGACTTCAGTAGGCATGTGTACATAATTTATAGCCCAAGGGAGTGTCGAATAACCTGTGAACTCCTGAGAAGGTAACAAGACAAATCTTGTAAATGAAGTTAAATACAGAACGATAGTTGTATAACCAAGAAGCACATTCCTATCTGGGATGAACATGTCATATTTGATTTTTAACAGATATTTTCCATTCTCCAGCTGCTATATAGCTATCTTCATGCCAGAGCTTGTAAGACCATATTGAAGTCAAAAAAAGTGCCAAAGCAATCTATGCAGCTACATCTGGATGATTATAAATGTGTCCTACTAATAAAGGTTGATTTGTGGAATGGGTTTTCTGTGGATTTGCACAGTAAGAATGCAGCTTTAGTACTTCGTTTTGTCAGCACATGACATGCAGTGGGGACACATGGAAGAATCAACTGCACATTCTTTGAGCCATGGAAGATTTTTCAGACTTGCAATATTTAAGCAAGATAAGGAATAAAGCTTTACCAAAATAAGGTATTACAGGCTTAAACAAAAACCAAATATTTGGAAGTCTAAACATCGTTGTCACGCCGTGGGTTATTTTCAGCCAACAGAGCAAGACAACAGAACTAGCTTATCATGGGTCTCAGCAGCAGGGAATAGACCCCAGAGCACGTCAGACAGATATTTGTGCTTCATCACCTTTCATTTTTCTTTTTTTAAATAGACATTTTTCTGTTCATAATAAATGAGCTGTAAAAATACCATAAAACAAAGGCAAAAGAATAGAAATATTTTAGCACAGAATCCTGTACTAGCAGTTTCTGCTGCAGTAACTAAAAGGAGAGATAAAGAAAACCATAGTTACTCCCTTGGCATTCAGGTCATGAGGAAAAATCCCTCCCATGCTGTTGACCACAGTACTTTTCTGGCTAGTTAAGACCCCACCAGGCACTTCTTTTGAAGACACACGTGCTACACTCAGCCTGACCCAAACAGCTTCTGGAAGGGGTATTGTATTATTTAGGTATGCTTGAATAACCGTGGGGTGCTAGAAACCTGGGGTTTAAGAATGGCCACGCATAATGGAACAGAATACCACGTTGTATACCTAGCCACTCAAGGAATAGCACTAAAGAAAATACCTAGGCAAAAACGTTAATTTAACACGGACAGTGAGGCAGAACAAAAAAAAAAAAAAAAAAAATCAAATCGCTAAAAATGCTTCTCTCATACTTGACTCCCTAGCTGCTGTGGCAGCCCAGCTAGTCTGAGAGCTACCTGGAATGGCCATTCTGTGTAGCCTGAATTTGTTCTTCCAGTGAACGTGTCATGACATTAACAATGACTAAATACCATTTGACAGAGAAAACAACATTCTTTTCTTTTCACTGCCTCTCTTCGGCTATTTTAATAACATTCTTAGTAGAGGTTTCATTTCTAGCTTCTTGACAGTTGTTCCTCCCGACTGTCTCTTTCAAAGCACAGTGGTGTGGCTCTCCAATCAACTCTTAGGAGAAACTGCAATGGTACAACTCTAGTTGAGATTTACAGTTCACTCTTCTGTTGTTTTCTGGGGAGTTCTCTCACCCATCGTCCAGCCAGCCAGGAGAATCTTGCTGCCCACCTCACACTTCATTTCAAGGATTTCAAATCCCTACTGCAAGCACTCACAGACCTCCTAATATTTGACAAACAAATGTATTATTTACACTTGGTTATGCACAACAGCACTGGCAGTTCCTAGGTTACAAACTAAAGGCTCTCTTGTTCTAATAATGGCTGAAGAGTCTGAAACTACTTAAAAGTTACTTTATACCAGTTTCAGATCTCTTGTTCTGAAAGTTTTTAAAGTATAATCACAAAAACAAATCGGACTACAAGGACTACAAGCATAAGGACAAATACCGAAGCTTGGACTCAAGACCTCCTGTACATTTATGTATTACCGTTAATACGTTACTGCCAAGTGTTTGTCTCACTCCCATCTGACATTTGTGTCCTCTGTGCTTCAGATGAAACAGCTCATGGTCTGTTGTACCAGTGGAAAACAATTGTCCTTTTACAAATTAAGCAAGGATGCCAGCAGTAAACCACGGGAACTGAAAAATGGCAAGCGTTTAATTCTGCTGTCAGTGCTACAGAAACAACAGAGGCAAGCGGTAATACCTTGAGCACTTGCAGGGTATGTGGATATCCTCCACAACTCACTAGCTCAAATCCTACCGTCTTTGCATAAATCACATCCTTTGTGGAAGCTGGAAGCTCCCTCATCCAGAGTTAATGTTCTTTCAGTCCTTCCTGCTCCAATTCTTGGCCTCTTACCTTGCTTAAGCTAAAGTCATCAATGAAAGTCAAACAAAGAACCAAATTTTTAATCAGGGTAAAAAAAAATAAATCCATTTTCTTAAGATTTTCAACGCAATGCAACTCTTCTGAGACAGGTCTATGCAACAGAACGATTGAGAATCAAACATCAGGTAGTTAAGCAACTTTTTTATTTAAATGAACTGGGAACATTTTCTCAAATTAAAAATAGAAACTTTTAAAAATCTGCAGTTCTGAACATTACATATACACATATGCTACATACTGTCAATTAGAAATGTTTCCATTTATGACCTAAAAATGAAGGTTATTCCCGATTAAAGACTGGTATCACGTTTCAGCATTTCTTTAAAATTATTTGAATGATTTACAGGATTATCCCTACTGCAAGCCAGTGAACATCGTTGGAAACAAAGTTAACAATACTGATATATGAAGAGACACTATTTTAGATCAATATACCCAATTATTTCACCCGTCGAAATGTTTTACACTAGGAACATAGATACGTTTGGCCTTGTTGATGAATTCTGCTGTTAACTAATTCAGGAATGCAACTGTATGCCTAAATTCAAGGCAATAACTCTAATAGTACAAATGTTAACTCCAATTGCTAAACACATTTGAATTTCAATATTGGAAATCTTACTAGGAAATTATTTAGCTAAAATAGTATCACTGCCCCCTGAAAAGAGCCAGAGCTTAACAGCAACACTAGTAAGGACATTACAGAAGTGAGGGTGAATGAAGAAAAGGGAGACAGAGAAAGTAAAGCATTCTAAAAATAACCAACAGATGACATCTCATGCTCTTTTGGAGTACTACTGAAGTCTAGAAAGCTTAGCTTTTTTGCTATATTACGCATCATGCACACTCCCAACCCTCCCACCCAGTTTCAAAACGAACTTCTCCAACAAGTTCCTTTGAGGTCTATACTGCAAAGATCACTAAATATTAAATAATTTTTAAAAAAAGAGGGAGAAAGCAAAACTGCAACAGAACTTTTCAGAGACATAAGGAGACATTGTTGATCTCATTACACTTCAAATTTAGTCCAAAGTGGTCATTCAAGAGCACCAAATAGCAACACTGATCATGCTGGTAAAATTCATTTGTGAAGAGTATTATACAATATTAAAATTGTAACTAAACACTTACAAGTTTTAAGAAAAATGTATATACAAAAGTCTCTGTATACAAAATGTATTTTTATGTAAACGTGTATGTACTGTATTTAACACAAATCGACAATTTAAGATAAGAACTTGTCAGAGGACTGCTAGGCAAAGGCTATTAATCTAATTAATTTATATACTGTGATGTAAGGTAGAAAGCCCAGTGTAAAAAAGTAAAAAACAAAAAGCATTTTAATTCAAGCCTTGAACAGTGGTATTTGAGAGGCAGTGCCCTGATCACAAAATATTCTGTACAGTAGTTTATGGCATAACATTCAATAGTACATTGTGGATTTACAGTACGGGTGACATAAAACAAGTGGCTCAGGATTTGGAAGATGAATGCAAATGCCAATACACTTGGAAGAATAATGATATTTTCCCATAGAAGAATCTTGAGCCTCATTTATATAGCCTGGAAATAATCACAAAAACAATTCAGGAAAATTGAATGAAGACAGAATTATAACGTAATTTAAGCAGAATGAAGCCATAGATTTTCATATGAGCATCAATATGGTGCAACATTTTTTTATATTTTTAAACCTTACAGCACTCATTTTACACAAAGAATTGACTTTAAAAGCTTATTACTTACCCCTTCATGTTTCCAGTATGTGTTACCACTGTTCCACAGAGCTATACAAGAAAAAACAAACACACACACAAACCAAACCATCATTTTCATTTGCCCACAAATGGAACAGAAATACCATGTCTAACTAAGGTAAGACAAGCTCAGCTGGCACAAACCATTCTCAAACTTTTGCCCATTTAATTAAGAATTTTTCAAACAAGACAAAATAGATTCATGGTTTTCTCTACCAACTTTTCTGGTTACCTTCGTTTCATGATAGGAAGAAATGCTTGGATTACCTATTCAACACGGCTCCTTTGAGAACTTAATCCAGCCTCCAATTTTGCTCTCACAAAAATGGTGGCTGCATTTGAGGTTATTTGTATCTTCCACATGTATATAAAAACACCTGTGTGAGACACCTATACAAATATACCTCATGTAGATCTCGTACTTGTAGTTAAATATCTTATAAAGAAAGACATTTGCTTCTCTTTCCAGCAAAATAACACAGCTGTTTTCGAAGGAAAAAAAAACCAAAAACCTATGGGATTCTTTACACCTGCAAAAGTACAGGTGTACAGAATTCTATTCAAAGTCGTATCTCTCAAAGTATCTCTCAAAATAATTTGTTGGAAATGAGAAAAAGCAAGGATAGCATAAAAGTGAAGAGTTTTCTGAAACGAAAATTAAAAACAAGACTCTATTGCTATGGGAATCCCAGACTGAGAAATTCAAAGCATGAATCTCACATAATTAGCAGTTTTTCAAATTACCTCAGTTAG